GCACTGCAGCAGCAGCAGCTTTCAATGGAGCTCAGGGTGTTACATTAATGAATAACCCCAACCAAACACCAAAGATGGTCCCTTGTACATCATTGGTTCCTGACATGTCAATCATGGTCGTCTGCTTGTCCCTCCCCCCTGTGTGCTTACCCTTACACATGAACAAATCGACCCCCCAAAGCTCATGCAGGCCACATGGCTGGAAGCTAGCCACTGTTATGCTATGTTCACACCACAAGCAGCAGGAGCAGCAAAAACACGTGTGCTGCTTCATTTTTTAAGCTTGTACAAGTTTAAGCTTGTACATAGTTGGTGGAAAAAGTGGGTCTGATGCATTGGGCGGAGCTACCCTATCCTTTCTTTGCCTGTAACAATGGCAGCTATATTTGCTGTGATCAGTGGGTAAAAATTTTTTGAATCTATTTTGAAGTGAGAAAGTCTACCTGAAAACATCGTCAGTGCAGTCAGTTCATCCAGATTACCATCCTGCCTTCAAATCTTATTTTTGTTGGAGCTGCTCAGACCCCGGCGGTGCGCTGTTACTAGGATTCCCGTTCAACAGCGGCCTCTGACCCGGTTGCCTCTTCGCTAGGGATGGGAATCGAGAACCGGTTCTGTGTGTTCCGATTCCATGGCACCGTTTGGCAGCTCGCTTAACGATTCCAGGCAGCACCAGAACCTAGCGCTGGGCAGCAAGACTTGCGTCACGTTTTTTTACACAAGTTACGCACACTGCATTCAGTAAGCAAGTACTGTGACTGGCTGTCATCGATCTCCCTACTGAGAATCTCACTTTGCAAACATCTGATGCGCCACTGAATCAGGTCTGTGATTGGACAGTCACAGCTCTGCTGAAAACCCACGTTACCGTAATTTGACCTGAAGGGTCGCAAGCCTTTTTCTCTGCTTTGGTACTTGTTGGATTTTTGAGACCTCTTAAACGGTCCAGGAGTTACGGTCTTGGAGAAGAACGTGGGTCAGCATAAAAGACGGTGAGGAAATCTGTTACTTTAAATTTGTTCTTCACTTAGGTCACGTCATCTAGGAGGGTTGTAATATCAGATGTCTTAATTGACAAAAATCTTAGAATTGTTGTCATGTGCATATGTGTGGTTGTGTGTGTTTGGTTAATAGACAGTAATAGACTGTCTGAAAATAGAAAGAGTTAAATAAAGAACTGTGCAACACTCCTCCTAAAACACCTTCACTGGTTCCATAAAGCAGCAGATCCAGTTCAAGATCCTCTGCATTATAATGCTCTCAATA